CAAACAAAACTAATCACAATAGAATCTCTTATTAATCTACGATAAATATCATTCTTAGTTTTGTTTTTTTTTAATTTTTAATTTTATTTTGTCCTTTATTAATCATACAGATATATTAAAAAAATGTGTAGGTCAACTTAAATGAAAAAAGTACTCTCATATCAATTCTATTCATGTCTTGCTACATAACAAAATTTATAATTATATAACATAGAGTTGATATTTGAAAAGTAATACTGAATCTTTTCAAAAACTTTGATTTTATCTTCGAACTCTTTAAACTGCAAATAACAACTATAGTTTTTGATTGGATTTATTTTTCACTTTTTCTAATTGAAATTGATCAATATCCAAGAAAGACAAAGAAATTTGAATTCTGAAATTTTCTATCGAAATCTTTCTCTATTTTATTCATTTAACTATGTTTGATATAAATTTTAAGTTTAGAAAGAAATAATATTGAGAGAAATATACTTATTATTTTAAATCATATGTGTAACTATTGTGTACTGACCTGTAATGAAATCTTTCGACCTTGTAAATAGATTCTACTTCAATATTAAGCCAGAATCTATATCAATTTGAGATCAAGAATTATTTAATATGATTGAAAAACTTCTTTATCGTTGTGTAACGTTTACACTATTTCGCAACTAAATAGCAGAAATTGCTATGTGTTTTTCTATATAAAAGAAAAAATAGAAAAACTAATCAAAATTTCATTAAAAATTATCAATCAAATTCTTAATGTTTTCAAAATGTTCTGATTAAAAAGTAAAATAATTAGAAAAAAAAATATCAAGAACGAAAGTTTGTTCTGTAGCATAGTTTTTTGCTGGTGAATTGAGCAAATAAAAAAAATGAGTTGGGAAAGAATAGCTTCTTATCATAGACATGTATCTCGAACGTTCAGATTCATTTTTTTTTTAAACTATACATACGAAAGTTGACACTTAATTCGACTATTCACTAAAAAAGTAACTTGGTAAGAAGTTTTTTAATTGAACAAAAATATCAAACAATTATTTTATATAAAAAGAAATGCAGATAAAAAAAAAAGATTCATTAAAATGGTCTATTTTTGTTCGATAAACGAACAGAAAACTCTTCTATTGAAAGTCACATATATTTTACGAATTAGTATTGTTTCATTGTCTTTTTCTTGATTTAAGTTCGACCAGATAATGGAATAAGGCGTACCAATGGGACTCTACTTCTACGATGGCTAAAGTCTCTAAAAACATCCGAATCGATTGGTATATATATATATATAGAAATAGAATTATTTTATATGTAAAAATAACTGAATAATATAATTCTCTTGTTTTAGCTCGACATGTAGTTGTCTTTGAACAAGATCTTTGTCAATTGATCAAAGAATTAAAAGAATTTACTTTTCTCGATATTTATGGAGAAATTCACTATGAAAAAGTTAAAGCTTATCGATCAATGGTTCAAACTCGTTTTCCTCATAGTCGAGTAGATGTTGAAATATCAAGATTTCGTCTTTGGCTTTAATTTTCTGCTCGTTATATGCAACCGTTATATATTAAAGATAATTGTCATAAATGTAGGTATTGTTTTTCCTTTCGTTCTTTGATCTTTTGTTGATCTCAACTTACATTGGTTATTGTTTATCAAGGTAAAAGCAAAGATTATATGTAACCTTGATCTTGTTCTATATAACGTAATATTATTGTCTATTACATAATATATACGTATCTTTGCTTTATGTAATAAACTGGACATTTATACGTATTTACTTTAATACGCAACATGTAAATTACTTGTGTTCAATAATGAAATGTTAAAATCGCTTTCTGAACAATATTTTATTCGTTGGAAAATTCATTGTAAATAAAAGGAAAATAAACTTAATATAAATCTATATTCTCTTTATTTGATAATTTCTTGTAGTTTTTCATCATGTTCAGAGCCATCCTGCATGTAGACAAAGTATAAAAAAATTACGTTTTTACACGCAACAAGCACACATTTTGAGCTATTAAAATACCTTTTATACTTTCGAAAAAATAATGAGTAAATACTTTCTATTTTTTTTATAAATTCGCTTTTTTTTTTCTTCAACAATATCGAAAATTTTAGCACGTAAAATTAAGCCAAAATATTGAATCTCTTCAACTATGAATTTATAATTTACTGACATAGACTTGGATGGGTTGAATTTGTTGAACCAGCATCTAACCAATCTGATAAACTATAGTTTGACTTTGACTATAGGTCTCGATGGTGTGTGAGGTGACAAGACTCTAATACAGATTAGATTAGTTTATCAATCAATCATCTATTCAATGAATTCATGTTTTGATTCTGAAAGAAATTTCATCCGTTAACCGATAACTATTTCTCCGAACAGAATTCCAGTTGATGTCTGTAGCGATCTCTCTTCAACAATTTTTGCATACATGTAATTTCTATCGTCTATTAGACTTTAAAGAATTATTTTATTATTTTCATATATTAAAAATTAAAATCAAGTTTGCTTTTACACGTCAATCTTTTTAATGGCATTATCAAATGATGAAAAACAAATTATTAATGAAACAAAACCTGTTTCATTAGATAATCTTTCACCAATAGTTCGTCAAATTCTTTCTAAAGATCCATCATATGTTGTTCGTTTTGTTGGTCAATTATCTGAAAATAACAAAATATCTTTTTCGACAACATTCAACAACAGCAAGCCGTGCTGAAAATCTATTTTCACAAATATCAAAAGATGATCTTATATTATCAATAAATGAAGATGAAAATGATTTACCTCGTCTTCCAATTGTGAGTTTTCCATCGGTAGAAAATCAATTTGAAATGGATTTGGTAGCAGAAGATGAAATAATACCGATGCATGAAACAGCTCGTTATTTTGGTTGTGGA